AATTTACTCATTAATGATAATTTATCCCTTATTATTATATTATTATTATATTAATTTTTATTTGTTAAATAATTATCAATTATTAATTACTTTATATATTAATTTAATATTATTAATCTCAGTCATATTAACTATCAACAGTAATTAAACCTCATAATTTACCAAACGCTATTACATTATTTTTGAAACCAGCAAAACTTGTATAATTATAATTTACCAAGCACTCAACTGTTTTTTGTAACAGTTATTTTTTCTTTTTAACACAGTTAAAAGTAACTTTTTTAAAATCTACTGACACATAGTTGGCTTGTATTATTCTGTGTCTATTGAATTTCATAACAAAAAGAGAGAGAATTCTTTTCCTTTAACTAGAATAGTAATAAGATGCCATCAGATTCTGAATTTTCGACAAAAACTCTTCCTCTAGAGGCATAAATTGGGGGAAGACAAAGATGTTATTATCCAATAAAGGATATATATATATATATATATATATATAACATATATATGGATTAATTGATTAGATACATGCATGGGATGGGACAGCCAGGCTATTCTACATATGAGAGAATTATGAAAAATAAGGTAGCCTTTGTCTTAATTATGTAGGCTTGGCGCATATGGAAAATTTAGCAGCTTATTGTTAAGCTAGTTTTCTGACCTCCATTTGTTTGTTTTTTGTTTTTGCTACTTGGTTTTATATATAGTACAAATGTATGGCATTGAGTCGGTTGCTTTGTCCCTACAAGTTTCCCTTTTCTACCTTGAGATTTGTGTTTTGCCCTGATCTAATCAGTGTGTAAAAAGATGCTTAACTATTTTTTAGCAATAATAATATTAAAAGACAAGGAACGAAAACGACTTCCTTTCTGATCACTTTATGCTTTTTTTCTCTCTTTACTTCTAATCCCCAAAAGTTATTTAATTAAAATATCACTAAAATTAAAGATAATTGTGAGCAGATTTTTTATTTTTATTTTTATTTTTTTGCTTTGTATAAAGCTGAAATCTCTTGCCCTCCTTGTAGCATTATGTGTTGCCTCTACTGCCATTTCTGAAACATCTAAAACCAATCAGCATTCAAGGGGAAAAATAACCATTTTTATACATATATATATATATATATATATATAACCATGATAATGATATTGCATGATATATGGCGGATGCTTTTCTATTATTAGGGTTTATTTTAACCAATTGACAGCAGTAATTGTGTCCACTTCCATTACTGGATTAGCTTATTACAACCCCATAATTGGTCCATGTCCAGTGAAGAATAGGGTTGAATTAGAGAAATATCACAAATATATAGAAATTGATATTCAAATAATATCATTTATGCCAAAAATTTGAAAACAAAGAGGACACCAGAAAGAGCTTAGATTTTCCTGCATTCTTCTCTGCTTTCTAGTTTACACTTTTTCTATTATCGTTTCTTGCCATAATTTCTTTTTCTTCATTTCCTTTTGGTTGTTATTGTTTTCTTTTTCTTTTTTTTTAAATTCATGGGGAAAGATTTTTTTAATGAATAGTGAGAGAATTTAACCAATATCAAATAAAGATTGAACATCTCAATTATGTTGACGATTACATATGAAATGATTGCTTCCTCTCTTCACTAATTTTCATTTCCTATTTTATATGCTAGAAAGAAGAAAACCCATGAAGTTTGGTCCTTTGAAGATTGTAAGCTATCAATCAACAATCAATATAGGTAATTGTGTGGTGCAATGCTAACAATATGGTCTACTCCAACATATTTCATATACGTATATATACGTATATATACATATATGTACATGCATGTTTATCCAATTTTGGAACCTGAAAAGCATAATTAAGGGACAATCTATATATCCAAAGAAATTGATATTTGACCCAATATAATAAAATACTAATAACTAATTCATACGCTTCCTTATAGCATAGTCCAATAGACTTAGCTAATTAATGTTCATAACATTTGCATCCTCTAATTATATTATCTATTTGACGCGTCAAGATATTATGCAAGCAATACAATTTTCATGCAATATTATATTAATTTTGTGCGCAGTCAATACAAGTTGATGCAAAGTATTTTCTACATTTGTCTTAAGGTGTTGGTTTGCTTTGAAAAACACCCTTCAAGCTGTCAATCATTTTGTAATAATTTACACGTACGTAGGCAGAGCATGTCATGTGGAAGCATATATATATATATATATATATATATATAAGTATAGTAATTGACAGCTCGAGATATTTTCTAGCACTTTAATTTTCTCTTTTTTTTTTTTCATGTTGTCACGAGATTTATTAGTGAACTAATGCACATACTCTAAAAACTCCTTCTATGCGTTTGTTTTCATAGGTTTATCAAAAAGAAATACTTTAATTATATTTCATCTCTTCAACAAGTTTAGTAATGAGCATAACAGTCATATTGTTCCGATGAAGGAAACGAGCATGTTAGTTAAATTCTTTATAATTACGTGGATTGAAATATTGAAATGGCATCTTAAGGCATGCACAAAACTGTAATTTACCCTAGCTAGGAAACACTTTGCTTAATTCCCATGAATAATATTCATTTTGATTTTATAATAATAGAAAATTTTCTCCTCGTGAATAAGGAACCAGGTTATGTTGAGTACTGAGTATCCTATTATTGGTGATTGCCGAAAAGGAAAGAGAGAAAGAGAAAGGAAAAGGGCCAAATGAAAACAAACTCTTCAATTGATCTCTTGCCCACAATGTCTTCTTTCTAATCACATAATTATTTCTTCATTTTTCAAATTTATTCTCTTTAAGATGGCTTTTCAAATGACGCAACGTTGCTAACATTAGCAGTATGTGTTTCTAATTATATGTGCTTTTTTGCTATGATTAGGGGGAATTATTAGAATTTCTTTTTCACAACAAAAAAAAAGTCCTCCAATTGCCATATATATCAAACTCAGCACATTATTCAAACCAACCAAGCAAGTATATATATATATATATATATATACACTTGAAGATATAATAGGAACTAAATCGAAGAATTATGGTTCAAAATTATTTTTAATTTATGTGTGTTTTTTATGAAAAAAAACACTGTAACGTATTATAAATTATGATTCGAATCATGACACAAATTTTCATATCAAACATCTTATAAGTGTACATGCACCATTTATTTTTCTTTCCTAGAATATTCTTTTGGCAAGACAAGAGAAAATGAATATATCATTTGGCTCACTAATCAAAGGAAAGAGATAAAAACAATGCATTATTAATTCCAGTAGCTTTAAGGACAATTTAGGCATAATATTTTTTTTGCATGCCTAGTCATTGGAGAGAGATGCATATAATTAAAAAGAATTATTATTAATTGGGGAGGGTTACAGAAAATCTTGAAAAATGAATACCGACAGCGTATGATGCTAACTCCATTCTTTTTCGGTTCAGACGGATTTGTGGGTCAAAGCTTTCAGCGTATGGGAATTAAAATATTTGGAGTTTTTGTCTGATTGATAATTTCGGTGAAAAAGACATGAATTCACCTTGAGAGAGAGAGAGAGAGAGAGAGAGAGAAAAGCAGATTCCATTTCAATCTTAGAGGTGTAGCTCAAGCTGGTACAACACAAACAATGACAGCATACACTCGTTCACACGACACACATATATACAGTACGTTCTATATTGCATATATTATGTAAACAAATATATATAGCCTTTTTTGTCCGTTTAGAGAGGTTCCTCAGAGATAAAAAAACACTAAAAAGACGTTTGGTTCATAAATTAAAATTATGAGATTAAAATTATTTTTAATTTATGTGTATATTTTTAAGAAAAAATACTGTAACGAATCATAAATCATGATTCAAATCGGAGTACGAATTTCCTAACCAAACAACTCTTAATATTAGAGAGGTGTAATAGATGACTAAGGGTTTATTTTTTTACACGTAAACTTAAAAAAAAAGTTTGAATTTAAGTTATAATTTTATTTAAATTTATGTTTTTTTATAAAATTTGAGTTTTAATTTGAGTTTTAACTTGAGTTTATGGCTAAAATCTGAGTTTAAGTTTCCCTTTCAACTCAAGTTTTAAAACTAAAACTCAAGTTAATGAACAATATTTTTTCAATTTTTAAAAATGTCATAACTTTTTCATTTTAATTCCGATTGAGATGATTTTTTTTATGCGTTAACAACGAAAAGACGAATAAAATCCCACCTATATACCCTATTATAATTTTCTATCACTATTGACTCACCCAAATATACTTAAAAAGATTTTGATCTCAAACCATAACTCAAATGTACAGAACTAAATAAAAACTTAAGTTACAACTTCAACTCAAGTTATAACTCAAATTCAACTCAAGATCTACACTCAAATTACCATAACTCAAAAATACAAACGAACAAGCCATAGATTCTTTGATGTTACTCTTCTTCAACGTAAATACAACGGTCAATAATTGTTATGTTATTTTTTTATAATTATATGTTAAGTTGTTTCATAAAAAAAATTACCTATTATGTTAGAGAGACCTTCCACGCCAAGAATAAAAGAAAAGCCCTAGATATACTCTTACTTATAATTTTAAAAAAAAAAGTACAGAAAATGTAAAATTGATAGAATTTAAATACCATTGACGGCTTAAAATAGAGATAATAAATTAAAAGAACGGTTCAAGATACCGCACTATTTGTATAATATTTTTTCATATTCCAACGTAATATATACTTCTAAAAAAAAATAAAAACAGACCAAGTTTATATATCAGTCATCCAAACAGATTTATATACAATTGTGTACCTCCAACTTGGTGCAACTTCAGTTTATTAAGGCCCTCCTCTATGAATTGCCAATTCCTTACTCCTTAATCAAGAAATTTAGAGAGAGAGAGAGAGAGAGGAATGGAGCTTAGTCAACATGGTTTCTTGGAGGAATTACTGGCTCCAACAAGAAGAGATAGTTGGAGCACTTTCTCAAGCAGTATGTTGAATGACCAGTTCTTTGCTAGTGGCAATTGGAACTTTGATTCATTTGAAGATAACAACAACCCAGTTTTGGCAATCCCAAATCCTCCCCCAACAACATTTCTAACCAACTCTGATTGCCCTTTCACTGACCAATCCTCCTCCTTCCCTTTTGTTGACCATGACCATGGAGTAGTACTTTCAGTGCCTGCAGATGATAATTTTGACTCATCTTACTCCAAAAACAACAAACCACCACCATTTCCATCACAGGATCAAGATTACCCTTCAATGGCGGAGGATCATGAAGTCCAGTTTGGCTTTCTTGGTGGCGAGAACGGATTGGAGTTGGATGAGATTAGCAATAATAAGCTGGCCGCGAGCTGTTGCAAAGTCGAAATGGATCAACACATCATGACATGTGCTACAGAGCTGATTCCCGGCTTTAACATGGGGAGTGTTGCTGCTAATTGCGGAGAGAAAAAGATCAGCAGGCCTAAGAAGCTTGAAGGCCAGCCTTCGAAGAATCTCATGGCCGAGCGAAGAAGGAGGAGGCGCTTGAATGACAGACTTTCCATGCTTAGATCAATAGTTCCCAAGATTAGCAAGGTTTTTTTAATCTGTTTTCTTTTTTACTTTTTTTTTTTCTAATTATTAGTATTTGGTAGAGTAAGTGAAGAATGTTGAGTATTTGGCAGATGGACAGAACATCAATACTTGGAGACACCATAGACTACATGAAGGAGCTTTTGGAAAGAATCAGCAAGCTGCAAGAAGAAGAGGGAATGGAAGAGTTTACAAATGGTCAGATCAATTTGTTAGGCATATCCAAGGAGCTTAAACCAAATGTAGTGTTGGTGAGAAACTCCCCAAAGGTATTACAATTAAGGACACTGATTTTTTTTTCCCTAAAAAAAAAATGCACTCTAAGATCCCAAATTAAGGTTTTAGTTTTAACAGGACAAAGTTAAAAATGTTGTTTTAATGAATTTCTTTGCAGTTTGATGTGGAGAGGAGAGAAGTGGATACAAGGATTGATATCTGCTGTGCAGCCAAGCCAGGATTGTTGCTATCAACTGTGAACACTCTAGAAGCACTAGGTCTTGAGATTCAACAGTGTGTTATAAGCTGCTTTAATGATTTTTCAATGCAAGCTTCATGTTCAGAGGTTTGTTCTCTCTCTCTCTCTCTCTCTCTCTCTCTCTCTCTCTCTCTCTCTCTCTCTCTCTCTCTCTCTCTCTCTACGCCTTGTGACGGAGTCAGATGTGGATTTTCTAATTGCTTGATTTTGTTTTTCCTTAAATGCCAATGTGTGTGTGTTTTTTTTGTGTGCTTATTTTAGGGAGCTCAGCAGAGAACATTGATTAGTTCTGAAGATATAAAGCAAGCAATATTCAGAAATGCAGGGTATGGAGGAAGATGTTTGTAGGCAAGAGGCAGAAGAAAGGAGAATATTGGAAAAATAAGAGAGTTAATTTGATTTGCAAAGGGATATATGGATCTTTTAACAATCTTCAAGAAACTTTCCTAGTCAGAATTTGTGACAACTTTCTCTTTTTAATAATTGCTGTTGCATCTATAAGATCCTTTTATTTTTCCCCCCTTCGCTTTATCATGTAATTATCCGCTCAATTTGGAGTATCTTTTAACACAAGGATCATTATTAGTTCACATCTAACAAAAAAATAATAATTAAATCAAGGTCATTTATGAATAAGAAATAGAGGGCTATTTTCTTCTTATTCTGTCATATTTTTGTTGCATATCTGTGCTGGATTTTGATAAATTATCAAAATTCTGTCCTTAACCATAAACCAATAATTGGGAAAATAGATTGGATGGTGACCTTTTATAACAGAGGAATGCTATAACATTCCTAACTAATAAACTAGATCCTTCAATTCACAATTCATGTGCAATAATTCTTTTTGACTTTGAAATGTTGTATTTGCGGATGTTGTAAATTTGACAAGCTAAACTTATTGCAAAATTCAGTAAATCAAGCAGAAACTTGAGAAGCACAGAGTGGCAATGTAACTGCCTATGATAACTGGTTCAGTTCTAAATTTATATATCAAAATTTTAATAATACCCTTCATTTATTTATAAACTAGAGAATAGTTTTCTATCTGTTTTATTTATAAGCTATGCTTTTTGGATGTTAATTGTTGACTTGTTGCAATCTAAGGTGCATAAACTACCTTAAAAGACCCTAAAATTGTGTAAGAATCCCAAGTCCTAAAACAACAATGAAATTTGCACTAGATCAAAGGTCCTAGCTACAATGCCATCCAACCCATTTCCTTATTTCTTTTCTCAGTAAAACAAATAAATAAATAAATAAGTAGAATAATTCATGAAAATATACGAGAGACCATAAAGAGGTTGGAGGGCCATAAGAGTTTCCAGAGGACAGTCAAGTAATTTTTTAGATTTCTGGCACTAAACAAATTGTCATTCCTGGATTCTTTTTCCCTTCATCAGAAGAAGTGACCCTTTACCAATTAAACGATAAATATACTTTTGACTAATTTGAATCAGATAGGTCTCTTTGCAAAGACTGTGGGACAGGATTATCCAGAGGCCAATAATCCCTTCATATGGTTGAACACCATTAGTCAATCTTAAACATGAAAAATGTGTTAAAAACAAAAATAATAGCTTTATTGAGTATGCTCAAATTCAGGTTGATAGAGTTTTACTTGGTCAAACATTAGCTAACATTATTCTCACTTATCAAATACTTTATTTCCTGAATTTCAGAGATATTGTAGAAAAGCTGCGGTCATACAAAGAATAAAGAACAATACAAGACAAATCTATTTGTTTAATTGTGCTTACTATATTTTGAAATTAGAAGATTAAGAAACCAGCTGAACTACTGTAGTCTTCGTTAAAATTTGCCTCATTTACAAAGTTTAGCCTTTTCAACTATGGATGAGTTACAGAAATATCAGGGCGCTAAAGTTAGCAGCTACACAAGATAGCTTCAACTGGTATCATGAAAAAGCTACATCTGAAATATTTTTGATACATTCATGAGCTAAATTTCTGTTTCAGTTTCATCACCATCATTTTGGAAGACGTAATCGTCATCCAAATCTGAAGAGTTACTCTTGGCATTCGACTGTATCTGTTGAAGCATACCGATAGCATCAGAGACCAAGGCATTTCTCGCAGCTCTTACCACATCCGATTTTGGGACGTTGATCTCTTTTCTATCCTGCACCGTCAATGTGGAGTTTTTAGCCTGTTCAGATGCTGTTTTTCTCTTAGCATCCCTGCTATGTAATTGGTCAATATACTTCTCATGTAGGACCTTGTTTTTGACCTGCTTCAGTACCGGGGGACTAAGAGCTTTCCCACATGAAGCGCTAAATCTAGAGAGAGGCTTCTTATGGCCTGAAGTGGATCTCTCATTGAACTTTTGGAGAAATCCATGTTTTTCCTGTAAATGCTTTGGGGTGGAAGGTACAACACTATGCTGGAAAGCTTGTGTAGATACATCCAAGTTGGGCTCAAGTACTGAAAAAAGATCAGCCTCGTGATTTTGGTTTTGTTGATGATGCATTCGCAATAACTGTCGGGCATTTTTGTGCAAAACGTGACTCTTCTGTTTATTAAAACTTGGTCTTTTGACTTTTATCTCAGTGGGTTTAAGCACTTTACTTGCAGAAAGATCCAAATGTCGAATGGGGGAAGAGTTTACTCTCTTCTTTGTCCTTGGAACAGGCTGATGTTGAGGCGGAGTTAAGTGGTCAGAATTGATTTTATTGAAACACTCCTGTGCAGATTTTCCAGGAACCTGCATTTAAGTTTGCCACAATATGTTGCAAAATATGACTTAGAGTAGCATGTTGGTAAGCAGCTAAACAATTACAGAGCATAGATTTACTGTTGCAGTATTGCCAAGTAGCTTAGAAACAGTTCATTTTTCGACAATGCTGAATTTATCGACATGTTTGTCATAGGAAAAGCTAATCCTAAAGGGCACGCAAATTCCAAAGAATCAGTGGATTGAAAGTTTGAAACAGGCAAAAATAATAGTGTGCAGTTAATTGTAACTTCAGTTGTTAGCTGGACAGGTATCCTGCAGATTTGACCGAGATTGCATAATCGTCGATCCACTTATTTGCCATCCTAACAGGTAAAACAACTATTCTAGCAGAGAAAACAAAATTCAATTTTGCTTCATACAGGGAGGTTGCTTTTTCAGCTCAAACTATATCCACCTAAATCACTAAGCACAGTGCTCATAGTTGAGACCTAACTATACAAGCAAATTTCAACAAACTTTATAACAAAAGGGAATGAACACGAACCTACCCATTACACATTTCCCCAGATAGAATTAAGTTCTTCCCTTTTCTCAATCTTGCCATTTTGAACTTACAATATGAGCTAGTACTTAGAATTGAATTTGCACTACCAATGAAAACAAATCCCAAAAGTTATCAAAATTATTGCAAGTCCTACTGAAGAATTTGATTGAGATAACAAGGATAACAAGTAGAAGTAGCGGAAAATTACCAATTCTGAAACCTTCTTCCAGAAGTGCGGCGTCGGCTTCGCAACTAAATAAGCTCTTTTCAACGCCAATTCTTGCTCCTTTGTCCATGTCTGGACTGCCCCATTGCTCTCCTCGCACTCATCTCGCTTTCTCTTCTGACTAACTTCAACCACTCTACACTCACCATCTAATTCTTCTTTAGTTTGTGGACCAACCAATGCCACTCTTGTTTTGATTTCGTTTTTAACCACAAACTCTTCTGCTCCCTCAACATCTGAAAGCTCATCCTTATAACATATGTCTTTTCTAGTGCTGGAAATCCTCTGAGATCGTCTAAGGCCTTGAAACCCATCCACTCTACACTCACCATCTAATTCTTCTTTAGTTTGTGGACCAACCAATCCCACTCTTGTTTCAATTTCGCTTTTAACCACAAACTCTTCTGCTTCCTTAACATCTGAAAGCTCATCTTTATAACATATGTCTTTTCTAGTACTGGAAATCCTCTGAGATTGTCTAAGGCCTTGAAATCCATCCACAGCACTGTTCTTTCTAATAGATTTTATCGACCCAGAACTCGAATTCCCGCGATTACTCGACCCGTTAACCGAAATACCCGATTTCTTGGAACTTTTTCCCGGTGAAAAACCATCACCTTCAGAAAGTCTCGGAGAACGCCTCAGATTCGAAAACCCATTGACCATATTTCTCAACACAACAGAATTTTTCGACTCAGTACTTAAAACTCCACGATTTCTTGACCCATCAATAGAGTTACTCGATTTCTTCGAATCAGTTTCCGAAAAGCGTACCTGGTCGCTTCTGGGGTCGGGAGACTTCGGAACTTCCGGGTCTGGGGAGCTCTTTTTGAGAAGAGAAAGTCTGGTGGATCGCCGGAGATTCGAGGAAGTGTTATGCTGAGGAGTGTCGCTGTGAAGAAATCTTGGTGATCTCCGACGGGGTGTGGACGGGACGACGGTGTTGAACGCGGAATCTCTCTTAGACATTTTCTTGAACGGTTGGCATTTTCTCGGAGAACGCTTCAGATTCGAAAACCCATTGACTCTATATCTCAACACAACAGAATTTTTCGACCCAGTATTTAAAACTCCACGATTTCTTGACCCATCAATGGATTTACTCGATTTCTTCGAATCAGTTTCCGAAAAGCGTACCTGGTCGCTTCTGGGCTCGGGAGACTTCGGAACTTCCGGGTCTGGGGAGCTCTTTTTGAGAAGAGAAAGTCTGGTGGATCGCCGGAGATTCGACGAAGTGTTATGCTGAGGAGTGTCGCTGTGAAGAAATCTTGGTGATCTCCGACGGGGCGTGGACGGGACGACAGTGTTGACGGCGGTATCTCTCTCGGGCATTTTCTTGAACGGTTGGCATTTTCTCGGAGAACGCTTCAGATTCGAAAACCCATTGACTCTATTTCTCAACACAACAGAATTTTTCGACCCAGTATTTAAAACTCCACGATTTCTTGACCCATCAATGGATTTACTCGATTTCTTCGAATCAGTTTCCGAAAAGCGTACCTGGTCGCTTCTGGGCTCGGGAGACTTCGGAACTTCCGGGTCTGGGGAGCTCTTTTTGAGAAGAGAAAGTCTGGTGGATCGCCGGAGATTCGACGAAGTGTTATGCTGAGGAGTGTCGCTGTGAAGAAACCTTGGTGATCTGCGAGGGGGCGTGGACGGGACGACAGTGTTGACGGCGGTATCTCTCTCGGGCATTTTCTCGAACGTCGGTCCTCATGAAAGAGGTTTCTGGGAGGGAATTCTCTATTTCCCACTTTGGTTCCAAAATTTGAAACTTAGGTTCTCACGGGCCTACTATAATAGCCACGTTTTTTACGGGCTGGATATTGAGGCCCGTTCCCCAGGTTCTCAGACTCAGTAGATGAAAGCAAAACAATCCTTACTTTTGATAAATAACTTTTTATTATTGTAATTATTTAATTAAAAAAGTTACAAATTAAGAATAAAGGTAAGAGTTATGATCTATATACTTTTAAAGGATATTTGTTAAGATTACTCATGTGGTAATGAAACCTTATCCAAGGGTGAGGTTTTGAAATTTTGTGCGTGTTTGGAACCGTTTTTGGAAATGGTTTTCACGTATTTTGATAAGCAAAAAATGAAAATGAAAACGAAACGATATTTATTTAGTAAATGTTTTGAAAACGAAAACAATGAGAATGGTTTTTGTGAATGAATTAGAAAATAACTAAAAGTTGTTTTTACTTTTCTATTTTCATTTTTAGTACTTATCAACAATATTATAATGTATTAATTAACAAACACGATTTTACTTTTTTATTATACTCAAAACAATCTCTTAAAAAACTAACCAAACGCAATTTTAGAATTGGTCCAAAAATGATTCTCAAAACAATCTCATTGTAACTTTTTATTGAAAACAAAATCATTTTGAAACAATTCCAAACGCAACCTTTGTATTGGCACTTTTCACTCTAAATTTTTAGATTTTGACAACTTGGTTAGAGGTGTTAAAAGGGTCGGGCCGGGCCTATGATGGGCATGGGCCATGCTTGGCACGGCCCTCTACAGTACAGGGTCAAGCCTAGGCCGGGCCTGAGGAGAAACCTTCATGCTCATCCTTGACCTTGGCCCTTGTCTTGTAGGGCTAGGCCCGGCCCGGCCTTGTAGGGCTAGGCCCGGCTTGGCCCTGTAGGGCTAGGCCCGGCCCCGCCCTGTAGGGCCTTTGAATGGGACGACCCACTTTAAAATTTAATTTTTTAATATTTTTATATTTTGACTTAATGACAAAAAAAGAAACAAAAATGTAATATTATATGTCCTAAAAATATGTGATTTATTGAAATAATATGAACCATTACAAGAAAATAATTGCCGTGAAGGAAAAAAGAGTGAAGTAAGTATAAAATGCAAGGATAATTAAATTACAATGTCGCCAAATTGCCTCACGGGCCTGGGCCGTGTCTGGACCCTTTGCGGGCTAGTGTCATGCCCGTGCTACTAGCTTCATAAATGAGGCCCAGCCCTAACCCTTCTAATGTGTCGGGCCAACCCGGCCTGCCACTGTACAAGACTGGGCCGAGCCGAATCTTGTAATGTAACGGGCTAGGCCGGACTATCCCTAGTTATGAACTTTTAGTTCGTATACTTTATCCTCTAAACTTGCAAAATCATTATAATGTGCCCTCATTTTATTTGCGCTCATTAAATTCGTAAACAGAATAACCAATGATCACCTTATGTGAGGATTGAGAAGAGTACTCTAACAAAACAAAAAAACCTCATTCAAAACCCTAATATACTATTCAAATCAAACACTAAAATTTTGCCCAAAAAAATTTAGTGCATTGCAATGATTTTAGAAAGTTAGAGGTACAGTGTCAAAATTAAAAGTTAAAGAGGAAAATTTTCAAAACCCAAAAAATTCACGAGACTAAAGGCTTTGTTTTTCCAGATTTCAAAATTTTATCAATTGGAGATTAGTAAAAATTAACTACTCAATATCACAATTATTAAAAAGTCAATATCACTTCATTTGCAAAGTATATTTTAGTTTAATAGTTTGGAGTGTAGCATTAGTGCTTTGCTTTGTCCAAATGGTACTTGAAGTCAAATTCTTTGCAATGTTATATGTTCAACTATAAATTATTAAACCTGCATTTCATTTGGTAATGAACTAATATGCCCACGAAGTTTCTTTTTTCTTTTCATATGATTCCAAACATGGCTTCTTCTTTCTAGTAAAATTTTAAAACACTAATGTTGTCGCCAGATGTTGATATGTACTAAAACAAGATTTTTTTTTTTTTTTTTAAAGAAAGCATTTAAGTACTAAAAAATTTTAGGTACAATTTCACACCGTTAAAATTTTATATAAGTAGTTACATCACGTGTAAAATATTCTTTACGAATATTAAAACACACTTAAAACTAAAATATTCTCTTTACTAGTTGAAAAAAAACAAAAACAAAAAACAGAAATTTGGAAATTATTTTGTTAAAATTAGATGTTGAGGGACCAAAGTATCATAACTTTCATAATTCAGAAACCAATAGTACTCATAATCCTTAAAAAAAAAAAAAAAAAAAGTGGAGACATTTTCTGAATTAGATCGCTCAAATGAGCTCCCCAACCTAATTTCTCAACTTTTAAAACTTTTTGTGGAGCGATAGCGATAATAGGAATTGCAATCCAAAAAAGTGATAACGAAAACAATAAATCTGGAAATTCAGGAACACAATTAGTCATAATTAAGATTAGTGAGCAGACAAAATGTGCCAAAGAATGTATGTATATTTTGTGCTCTGAACAAGAAGCCAATGAAAAAAGTCCAATTCGGGATGACCAAGTATTCCAACTTCCTGTAAATCTGTTATATTCCATTATTCCCTTTGCTTATTCTAGACTTAATATGAAATGGGATTAAAGAAAAGAGACAGAATAAGCACATGGATTCCACAATTTTAGGCATTAGAATCTTCACACCAAGCAAAGACAAAAGAAAAATATACCAATAACCCAACAAAATAGAAAAAAAAAAAAAAAAGATGTGAATGGGATAAAGCATCTCACTAATGCAACTTGGGGGAAAAAAATAATATACTATAATATCTCATGAAAAAGCAAATATGACACTTATTTATATATTTTCTAAGGGAAAGATGACACACTTCTTGATCTACCTAATTTTGTAGTTGCTTCCTGACCTCACAACCTTAAATTAAAATCCTAAATTACCTTATAAAAGTTCACTATTAAAACATATCCATTTGCAATTGGGACACCACATTGGACGGCTTCAAAGCAGAACAATAATACATGTGCTACTGCAGCCGTTTAGCTAAACCAATGTGTGCCTAAAAAGGAGGAAAAAAAAAATCAAAGAAAAAAAAGTATTACTTTAATATGTATTGAAAAAATAAACTATCAAAAAAACTCTATTTTCAGCCGGTGTATTAAAAATTATTTGTTTTATATATTTTTAATCTAGTGTTGTTTTAACTAGATTTAACGGTAAAAAAATATACTTCCTTCTAAAGAAAGACATAAAAGAAGGAAAAAAAAAAAAAAACCTTAGAGAGATTTATACCTAGGTCCTTCTCTAGTATGCCAACATACTTATAGGTCAGGTTTTTTGTCCTTTAAATCTGCATAAAATCACATAAAAATAAAAATGTACGCAGATCTAACGGTTAAAAAAATCTGACGTACCGGTACACTAAGTGTACCAGAGAATATCCTTTATACCTAATTTCTTTCCTTTTTTTTGGTTAGGATTTCCACTACAACTTCTAATCATGGAACAAAGTACTTGGATTGATATATGGTGCTTGAAGTACCCCACAACATTGCATCATCATTATCATCAGGTAATGGAGTCGTTGCCTTGAGGAGGCAAATACCTACTCTCTTTCTAATCTTGATGTAACTCTATATCTTTTTGTGATATTGCCCTATATATGCATCTATCGTTTATCTGGACCTTTGCTTAAATAATCTTGTTATGAAAGCTTATTGATCATAACAACTTTTACTTAAGTTAGAAAATTGATAGGGATGGATTGGAGTTTGATTAACAAGAGAATGCACTTTTGTTTTCATAAAATTGGAAAGTTTTGGCATTATCGACAACATTTGAAGAATTATAGCTAACAAGCACATTTGGGGCTTTAGGCAAAAATTTTAAAAATATCTCTTTAAAATGAAAATATATATTTATTTTCATTAATTCATTAAGGGGTCAACTAAATCTATTTTAAATCATTATTTTCTTATCATTTAAGATGAGAAATTATAAATTAAATCTTTATAACTATTGTGAACTTTAAACAATAAATTATCAACTGAAAACAACATTAGAAAGAAATCAATTATTGCAGTGAATGAATATTTATTTATCAGTGAATAATAAAAGCATATTTCTTAGATTTATCGTGTTTTTAAAAAAGGAATTAATTATTGTTTTTAATGAGAGAAGAAGCTTTTGTGGGCATTTAAAGCATTTGAAATTAATTAAGAACTTAATTAAGGGCCTTAGTTCATTTGGGGGCCTCAGGCAATTGCCTAAATGGCCTAGGGGTAGAGACGGCCATACATACATACATATATATATATATATATATATATCTATAATATATGAAAAATGGAGGATTGTATGAGTCATCATTTTTACTCTTTATTCTTAATAAGTATCCTTTTGTTAGTATAATTATTTGACTAAAAAAATTTTAAATTAAGAATAAAAGTTAAAAATTTTAACTCATACACTTTTAAAGAGTATTTCTCAAAATTACACTATACATATATATGCATGCATATATATAGATATATGCGCGTATAAATATGACTGTTTCTTCTGCTTAGGAAAGTTATTGTTATTTGTGTTCGAATTTAGAAAAGACAGCAAAATTTATTGATCCACTCTAAGAGGGGTTAAATTTGAAATGCTCCTCTATTTATTTATTTTTATAAACAGAAAAAAAATGTTATTAAGAAAAAGAAAAGAAAAAAAATACTTACAGACCATAAAAACACTAAAAAGAAAAAGAGAAGTAACGTATCAAAACAAAACAAAAAAGAAAATAAAAAGAAGATGGCAAGGTATAATTTTTGAGAAAAGGTAATTAGTTTCTCAATTTAAATTACATCCCACTCTAAGCTCTTAAATTCTTAATTCCACAAAAAAAGGGTCAGGATCAGTTTAGTATTGTTATACTGTTAAAAATTTATATTATTATTATGTTGTTAGTCAGAAATTGTTGTGACTAAAAACATGTAGGTGTTGAT